TATAGAGAAAATGAAGAACTATTTATTTCAATAAATGGAAAATTAATTTTAACTTAGAATTATGTAGAGACTATTAAAGCTCACATTTCTATCAACCATATATTCTAATTATTTTCCTCTCCCAAATTCGGTGCACATTTGCTTTCCACGTATCATATTGCTTTCTTTTTCATTTTGTCTTACGTGTGTGCGCTAGGAATGTGGCAGCTGGAGTGAGCTAAGTAAAACATTCTCAAATTTACATATGCTCTTCTGCACACAAACATATACTGTGATACTAAGATAAATAGAGCAAATCATGGACTGATAATGCCATGAAGCTTTTACAACAGACACGTGAGGCACAGCCTCTGTAACATTTCCCCACATACAAACATTAGCCACTTAGAGCCAAGAAATCATTCACACCCAATTCGATTACTTACTCTATATGTGGAACATGTGAGAAGAAAAATAGAAAACACCTGCAGTTTTTGTAGCAACGTACTCTCCATGAGACACACAGACAGGGAGAGAAGCTTGGGGACAGAGCACAGAGTCAGCCATTTCTACAGCACCCCTGGAGCAGTTGGGGTTAAGGGCCTTGTTCAGAGGCCCAACAGATTAGGATTCCTCTGCCAGCCATGGGATTCGAATTGACAACCTTCCAGCCACAGGAGCAGACACAGTGGCCACAGAACCACCCTGGTGTGTCTTTATGTTTTTAAACCTTCACTCTTCAGTCATCACATTTTGAAATTGAAGTTAATTGCTTTATTATGAAACTATGTGGTTGACATTATATCTAAAGCAACTTACAATTGCACCCATTTAGTCAGCTCAGCATTTCAGTGGAGCAGCTCGGGTGGAGTCTGACCCCACAACACTCGTTACAAGCCCAGACACCTAACCACTACTTCACTCTACAGTACTACCCTATTGTGTGGTGTAGTCATATTGTATATTATATAAAGGCACTCTGCTAATTAGGAATGAAGATTGATTTTAATGTTCTTTACGCCTGTGGCTATTCCATTTTGCTGATGTGGGCTTTGATTTTATACACCCACAGAATTTACTGCTGCTGTGCCCTGTTGGCATACATGAAACATACACTTTGGTGGGAAATGTACTGTATATGAATATACAGTATGTACTGTACATGAAAATCAGTTTTAAGATGAAGACTAAATCCTAGCTCTCTATTAAAGATGAAATGTTGTAGAAGAAGTATTAGACCTTCAACCCTTAATATTTTTTAAAGCAATGTGTGTGCAGAACAAAGGCTATAAAGCAATTGCGCTTTGCATTTTCAATCCATTCAGCATTTTCCTTTGCAACCTTGAAAAAAGTATAAATAAATGATGTTACCTTTGAAAGGTTTTAAGCTTCTTTCGCAAAAGGCTTTCCAAAGTGAGCACTTTTTGCATTAAGAGATATTTTACAGCTGTCTCTTCTCGACTGGCAGGGTTAATGCGTTGAGCCGTTAGTCTCCACACAAGAATTTCATGCTTCAGTTCTACAAGAGACCAACAAAGCGGCACAAGTAAGATTAAGGAAAATACACCAACCCTTAAAGCACACAATTCCTTCAGCTTTCAATTACGTCATAATGGCTGTTTAAACGTGTAAGGTTCAACAATGTTGAACAGTGCAGGCATAATAATGTAACTCCTCTCTTTTACCCAGAGCTTTAATCTTAACAGGGCAAAAATAAGATTTGATGAGACCCTGAGGAGGAAAAAAAAAAACACTGGCTTGAGGTCAGAAAAGCACTGATACAATATATGAAGGTTCCTGCAGACTGTTGTCAGCAGGTTGCTATGCGTTCAAGAGAGCACCATTAATAAGATCTAATTAAACCTGAAAAAAAATGTTCATACATCAGCACAATTACATTTCACAGTGAGCCTCAGAACTGATGTCACTGCAAGACCTTAGACCAGCTGTTTAGCCATCTACGTGAATATGGCGGCTTTATAAATTACCAACTCGCCGTGATGAACTTTATGGATTTTCTTTTCAATTTTCATCGACCAGTCACCTTCAGAGAGGCTCTGCTGTACTTCCTGCTCCAGGCTCACTACGTGCTGAGCTCTAACGGCCCTGTGCAGCTGGCATGCCTCTCTTCAACAGGAAGTGATTAGACTGAATGCACTTAAATACAGTAATAATAAGTTATGTGCACTGAAACAAAATCACCACATAAGCTATGATTAGCTGATGAGATTTCATGTTGTGCTCTCACAGTTATGTGCTCGCCAAGATCATGTATTTAGCTGCTACTTATTTTGAAGAAAACGGGGAAGAGGGGTCATATAAATATTCTGTCGAGTTGTACAGTGCGTCCTGGCAGTTGCTATACTTTGAATTAAAGTCAAATAACATGCTTTAGCTTTCAGATCTTGCTGCCAAAATGATTAATGGCTTTTATCCTTCTAAGCGCTGTCATTCCAACAAATTAATTTTATACAATGGTCCAGAATGAGATATCGTTCTTTAAAATCAAAACAAAGCAGCAGAGGTTGGTTTCGATAATCAGCGGGAATCAGATTCTTAAATCTCTTACTTTATCACCTGCTAAAAATCAGGCAGAAATGTACTGTGATTCTTTAGAACTCTCAAGTGCAAAACCTTCCTGACTTTGTCCACATTTTCCAAAATGAAAGTTCCAGTTTTTCATATTGGTTCTAATGTCATCAATAATCTATCTGTAACAAGATTACATTAGGAGTGGGTGGTATTTATTTATGGAAACTAAATTATTAAAACGTCTATTTTCATGCTGCCTTTGCTATGCAGTTGTTTTGCAAGGGAAATACATGACCATTCCCTTTTTTTAACCATGTCCTTTGGGTCATACAGACACAAGCACTGGTTAGGGCCCACAGGAAGATTGTGTCACTCCACCTACGATTAAGCAGTAATGAATGCTCAGCATGACAACGCAATGAGGATAAGCAGCTCCTACTACATGGGGGATGATGAAGTAATTGAGTGCATTTCCACACGATTTTACACTGACATGACATCGTATGCTAGCACCATCAGGTGCAGTTGTCAATTATTTCCAATGTCAATTATTTCCAATGATTTATGTAGTTTTAAATCTTGCCTACATTGATTTAATGACAGTCACCCAGAATGATTTTAACCTGTTTTATGATCCCACTGACAGTTTCCCTCCCCCAATACGTCTCGGAAAAAAAAAATCTGTCTTCTGTACTATAGATCATTTCCATGTCAGATATTCATTAATCCAAAAAAGTACCAAATTAAAAAATGATAAGTATTATAAAATACAGTATTTGTACACACATACTGTAGACATACTAACACTATTTCTATCCAAACATACACCCGTACTTTATATATTTCTAAATCATAGTCTTAGCAAATACTTTTAGTAGCAGATCAGTCCACTTATAGTAGTAATTATAGCTGTGACATGTTACAGCATCAATTCCAACTACATGTTCACAGATGACTAAGAAGATGTGGGATCAGACAGCAGAATTTGATGCAGCTTGGCATGGGATGAGGGTAAAGGTTCAGCTACGTCTTGCAGCCTTCAATTATGCTTCCTGTTATTTTTTACATTACATTTCATATTCTGCAGAGGAGTGCAGTCCTGGTCCTGGAGGTCCAGTGCAATATTTTCGTTCTATCTCAGCTCTGGAAGAGCTAAATCACCTAGTTACTGGCTTTGTTGGACCAAATTAAAAGCTTTTCCCAGCTTCTTAGGTGCTGCTGTTTTAAAGTCACGTTCAAATCCTGCAGACACACTCGCCCTCTAAGGCCAGGATTGGTCACCCCTGATCTACTATCTACTATCAGCCTCTAAACCCATGATGTTGCCTGAATTAACGTAAGTTTCATTGCATCAGTCTAATTCCTCACAACATAGCATGTGGGAAAGGCCTGGTCTCCTGCTACTTTACAGTTCTCATGAATCATATGACATGCCACATGTTTCGTCTATGTCTACTACTTTGGACAGGAAGATTCACACTTTTTGAGCATACTGTTCCCTAATATTTTAGTAGATCATGTAGATACAGTACACACACCGTGTATATACTGTACACATTAGACAGTACATAAAATTATCCCATTTTTAGCTTTTGAAAGCATTATAGATGAAATCTCATGACAATTTGCTCATTTCCAAACTAAAATGACATTTCGATGTCAAGCTTTCAAGTAAAACCAATTAATAGAGCCATTACACTATGCAACTATTTTCAGTCACTGTAATGTGTTGACTGCTTTCACCACACCAAGATCAAATAAATGTATTAATGCTGTGCTAGCTGTCCAACTCTGGTCCCTGATTATTGACCATATATGTCCCCTGCCAACCATTCAAAGTATTTCATGACACAAATTTTGTGACACGACTAAGATTCGAGGTTACTGGGAGTGTTTTCTGAAGGTAAACACTCAGAACACTACAGTGTGGAGCAGGGGTTAAGTCCATCCAGCTTTACGACAGAAACACCTTCCAAGAACTGGGACAGAAGTTGCTCCCAAGCAACTTCTTTCTATAACACTGACATTGTCAAACTGACCCCTGTGTTGCTCATTCTCTCACTCAACTGAAAATAATGCTAACTCAGTCAAGCAGCAGCTCAGAAAGCAGGAAGCAAGCATGTAACTGAGGATGGACAAAGATACAATGCAAGTATAATATGATCTAACACACAGATGACTTCTGGGAGAGCCAGCAATACTGTTTGAACATGGAAAGATGAACTCGAAAAGCAGTGATGGTTTCAAGCCTGCCTCTATTCTCCCAGCAGCTAAGTAGATATCAGAAATGAGATGGTTACATACTGTGCTTTGGTAATAAACTATCAACATCTCTGGAAGCGGCAGCTGAATTTATGTGTAAGAACCCCACTTTTGGTAGTGTGGCTAAGGTACTGTACCTTTATGCATGAAACCGCCACTCCAGTAAAGATGTATTTTACTCATACCTTGTACAATAATCAAAACTTTTTTCTATCAAAATCAGTCCTAGCCTGCAGTTCCCTAAGCTTAATAAACCCTTAATAAACACCATAAACTTTTCACCACAATCTCCTCTCTACCTAAGTGATACACCATTTTTATACAAGTAAAACCCATGAAAATTCTGACATCAATTTCACTCAGACAGCTAGTGCCCGCCAGTGATCTTTGAACAACAGGTGAGCTCCATTTCTAATGTACTGTTTGAAGCTGCCTGCATTGTGACCTCTAGTGGCAGACCTACCTTAACTACAGTCCTTTCTTGAAATACCATGTCTGACAATCCGGCACATACAGTACATATTGTACAGTAACTTCAATCAGCTATGAATAAAATGACATAATACATACTGTTCATCTTTCTATATTATTATTTTTGAGTCATTTTGATCATGTTTGTGACAGAACCATAAACCAGATTGATATATTGCTATTTAATGTTTAATGATTCAACATCAATGATTATGACATTTAAAGATTGAACATTGATCATACCACAATTTCCCTTTCCTAAGGTATATAAAAATGCCAGCAGAGCACACTATTAATTACAAATATACAGTTCATAATATGTATCAATTATGACAGTATTTGATATACAATGCAGTATCAACAGAATAGTAACAAGACATGTCTTCTCTGTCATCATGCTAGCTGTTTGTGAAGTGTTTAGGATTCTACAGTTGTGAGTCAGGCAGTCAAGGCATATCTGTGAATTAGAAAATTCAAACCCTGTGCAGAACATGTTCTCAGATGCTGCCAGGTTTTACAGTACAGAAGAGGTCATCCTAAGAGTTATGATACGTTCTGCATTCGAAGAAAAATGACAAATTTAAGCCATGAAAAAACTTACATTGTTAGAAATACCTTAGAAATAAAACCATACAAGGGAAAGGGAAACTGAGCTGTTTCTCCTTTTAAATGTTATAGTGACGCTTCTGCCGATGATTGTAGTTCTCCAGGCAGACATGCTCACATTTATAAAATGTTTAAATTTGCACACCAGGAAACTAGTTTGCAAATTGTGAAAAGTCAAAGTCATAACAGTCAGGGAGCTAGAAGACATTTAAGGACGCAAGTTTGTTTGGTGTACTCTGGATCATATTTTAAATTGCACAGTACTTCACTGCATTTTACTTGCAAAGTCTGAATAGCAACAGTTAGACACTGCAAAATGAAATAGTTCTGACAATACAATACAGTATTGCAGAGTTCTAAAGCACTTTCCTCTGCAGGGCTGCTTCTGTAATTGGCTTTTTTTTTTCCTTTTTGTCAGTGTGCTACCAGCTTTTTGTAAAATAACTTCTAACCCCCTCATCAAAATGGCAACGTACAGTAGAGTGTTTAAAAAAATAAAAGTGGCAAAATATTTCTGTAAATTATGTACACTCTGCTTAAAAACACTAATCTTGTTTTAGCCAGGCTGCAGATTTGCCATTGCAAAGGTGAGCTTTCACTTTTTACCATGCATGCTGCCTCAATTGTCACCCCTTGCTTCATCTGATGCATAACACAAGGCCAGTCTTTTCATTAACAAGCACAAACGTGTCAGAACAAAGAGTGCCATCAAGGGGCAGGTTTCTACAATAAAATACCTGGCCCGTCCAGTCTAGCATTGCCCTGAATGGACTATCTTTTTAAAAATCATTACAAAGTACACCTCATGCAGCAGCAGTTATTATCTTATTAAAAGCATAAGCACCATCACTTTAGTCCTTAAATTCGGCAGATGGCATTTAAATAACGTATTGTATTGGGAAAAGCCTTGACATCATTATTTCTATTTGGTGTTTTCAATTTAACTCAAGGGAAAAATTACTCCATTTCCCTTCTCTATAATGTACTGTATAGAGATACAAGTAAAAGAGAACAATAATACAGTATCTAGTATATGCATTATTGTTTAATCATTTTATTTTATTTGAGTCCAATAATAGTAGATCTTTCAAAGCTAAAACAGAGATATTATACAATATAAAGCATTCTTCTGTTTCTACACTTCAAGACATTTAGCCACATTGCAGTGCTATGATGAGAATAATAATACCAGAGGGCTTTCAAATACAAGACAAGAACCACATCATCCACCAGTGAAGTGCAGAAACCACTTGGGGAACACATAACAATCATTCTGTGCCAACAGTCCCACTACATCTCCAATTTAGCTAAAGGGGAATGAGCCAAACCAAAGCAGAATTAAGCCTTGGCACCAGGGTGCCACTCTTACAAAGAGTGCCCTAGGATCTTTATAGATATCTAGAAAATCAACGTCTTATCCCGAAGACCACCACCGCCATATTGAGATATTCTCTTAGCAAATCCTGGTTTAGCGGGGGGGAGTACCACCTGCTGTTCCACTGATGCATACATTATTTTTTTTAGCTAATAAACAAGACCCGGACAATAGTAAATCATTGGCGGCGGTGATATAGAGAACGTTTTAAATCAATATGTCTGGAAATTGCTTTTCCTGCAAATATCAGACAAACGTTAAAGATAATCCAGCAGGGAAGCGGGATGGGATAGTAGTTCGCATTTCTGCCTCATGGCACTGGGGCCCTGGCTTCCATTCCCATCACTTTCCAAGATACCGTCAGAGTGGGGTTTGTATGTTCTCCCTGCGAACATGCAGGTTTCCTCCAGGCGCTCCGGTTTCCTCCCACAGTCCAAATTAGTCTGGTTGGTTCATTGGGTGGAGGTTAAAATTGTTCCTGGTGTGAATGTGTGTGTTTGTGTCTGTGTGCCCCGTGATAGGTTGGCATCCTGTCTAGGGTGTATCCTGCCTTTTGCCCATCGTTTTGCCAAGATACAGTGGGCTCTGGCTCCGACATGACGTTGTATTGGATAAAGCAGTTAGAAAATGGATGGATAGACAAGCTGGTGATTTAGAACAGCCAATCCTTTGAAAACACTAGAGTACTAGCTTGAACAAAATTTCAGGTCTCAGCAAAATGAGTTCTAAACTCAGTTTAATCCAAGCATATTTTTATTTATCTGGTAGAGACAAGGAAGACAGGCTGAGAAGAAATGTCATTTTCTGAGGTCTAAAATGAGTCCATTGACAACATATGATTCATTTTTATTTTCTCTTCTAAAAATATGATCCCCCTTTTATTTAGCAGCTATATAATCAATTTCCAGCAGGTTTTCTGACATTTCCTCAATGTTTTGTCCAACCAGCCAATAACACAGGATATTCTAGGATGTCAAAAAACCAAGTGTAAGTCAGTGTGTGAGGCATGACACATGACATTTCATGAAGTCTGATTATTTTTTAAAATAACTTACTATTTGAAGTGACAAATGTAAATGAGATTTCAAAAGTAATGAGAAAATTTGAGGATGCCAATAAGAATATAATAAACAAGAGAAAATGCTCCTTAATACAACCTGACAGAAAACCTATATTATCCTTAAGATAATAATACATTAAATAAAAACCTGCATAGCATATTATGCAGATTCAGAAAGAAGACATTTGTGATGCAAATTCTGGTTCCTGAATGAGGAAAACGCAGACCCCCGGTCGATTACAATATTTCACTGAGGTCACTACATTAACTAGAGAAGACAGCAGTAGCCTACTGTAAAAGACAACCTGAATATGATTTATTAATCTCTGAAACACTGCAGTTTTATCCGTCCACCGCAGCAAGATAAGAGATATAATGGTCTATAATAGCCTCCGTACTATTATTAGCAACAAGACTTTATAATATGAATTAAGAGCAAGCAAGCACTTGGGCAGTTTTTGGCTGTGATTTTTTTTTCTTAGGATGATATTACTGTCTCTCGGAGATGCAGGTCAGCAATCTGTTTTTTTGTGCTTTCAGAAGAAATTAAGTTAACAAAAAATGTGAAAATATCCTGCGTGTTCTCCTCATGAAAACCAAAAAAGATGAAGTTCTGGGACACCTGCAAGTTCTGCAGTGTGAATTTCACCGTTAAATTTCCGCTGAAAATGCAGAAATGTAAGAATACTGTAATTTTGATTCTTTCCACAGCTGAGTTTTCAAATATATATAATTTTCTTTCTTGAACAAACAACACTAATTAAGCCATTTTTGTAAGTGCAGTCTTGCTACAGTATGTTCAGTGTTGTAATAAAAAATGGAAACAGGCTTCTGCTCATTATAAAAGTTTACCTTTGTTTTAGATTACATACCTTCACAGTACCTAGTGGTTCTGACATGTATTTGTACAATCGCCTGCTGTACTTTGAAGAAACCAAATTCAATAATGGAACATTCTGTTCAGAACTGTATAGTCATTTATTTTTATTTCCCCCCATTTGCCTACAACATAAGTAAACTTAGAAAAGTGTACAGGACTGTGTTTTTTTCATAAATATGATGTATTTATTCCTGTATACCCATAACTCATTTTATAGTAAAAAAACAGAACATTTCACTGAACATTTGTCGAATCTTTTATAGGATGAAATCAATTCTACAGCAGCTTCTTCAGTTGTTAAATAACCTACATGTACAGTATATCTGTCAAAGTAATTCACAGCAAACTAAACAGATGTTGAAATAATTTAAAATGTTTTATCTTAATTTTAAAAAAACAATATTAAGAGTGAATAAAGACACTGAAAACATCTTGTGTTTTCTAGATGTCTGGTAATTATTGAATTATGAATTTGCTACTGGAACTGCTCTTTTGCTTCGGGGTTTACTTCGTTTTTGAGAAAGGAAGATGGATAGAGTAAGCCAATAGCGAGTAATTACAGGAAACAAATGTACATTTTACAGTCTCTTATTTTACAGAAAACATCTTCCCAATGTTTTCATTTTCTAGTCATGTAACATAAAAAGTGGAAAAGCAAGTGAGCAACACAAAAAGCAGCTTCCTATAGATAAAACCATTTCATATCTGCAATCTATAACATAATCTGAAGGAAGTATTCTTTTTAACAGTATAGTTTAATTGCAGTTGTAATGTTGAAATAATGTAAAAAAAACTGTTTAAAGATACAATACCTAAACAGCAGTACCTTGAAAAAAGTAGCTTTTTACAGTTGATAGTATAGCACAAATTTAATGTATATACTGTATGTATAAAATTATATATACATGTATATAAAGAGGGTAGATATCTATAAATAAAGTGGTCAGTGGTCAGAATCTTTGAGCGGTTACATGAATTTTCATTTCTACAAGACATATGTATATACATGTATATACGTGATAACATAATGTATTGTGACCCATACTGTTTTCAATTGACAAGCATTACTATAATACAGACTAATGAATTATGAAGGTTATCCTAGATGGTGAAAGAAGCCTGGAAACATAATGACTTACCAACAATCTCACTAGGTTCCTTGTTGTATAGTTTTTTGTTCCAGAAAAGCATTCGTAGAAAAGGAAACGATGTCAGAAGAACGAGACATATCCCAAGAAACATATGTCCTGTAAATGCAGCAAAATCAATCCCCTGCAAAAAAGGGAAAATGGTTAATTCTGAGTTTCAGATCTGATCTTCTGGAGTGTTAAAAGTAATTCACAACAAACAGCAGACTACCTTTTAGTAACATACAACAAACGTCTGCAGTCGCATATGTCCTGTCAGTGAATTGCAGCACTAAAAAATAATTAATACTTGTACTGTACCCTTACCTTTTATTCCACTTCTAAATATTGTTGATACCACTGAAGACAAATGTGTTGTTCTAAAAGCTTTACAACATAATTTAAATTTAGAGACACATACTGTAACAGCTCATATCTAAATACCTGCAGAAAATGCATTCAGAGATACAAATTTTAAAGTATGCTAGTAGCTTTTTTGTTCATTTAAAGGAACCACATAATTCAGTTCTAAAAAGAATTGCTTCAGATTATAATTGAAGCCTTAACTGTATTGGTGCATGGATTCTATTTAGTGGCTAATAGTTTCTCCTACCATCGTCTCTGCCACTTCTGTTTTAAGACAAAAAACACAACTTCTTTACTAAGGCCCTAGGCCAGTTGTAATCGTCTGCACTGCAGTAGTTTGTAAATGTGGTAAATTGTAAATGTGGTGATATCAATATGCAACTTACTGAAAAAAAAAAACCTTTTCGGTAAATGCTTCTGATCAAAAAAGGCATTTGTAAAGGGAATTTGTAACCATAATCACTTTTGAAGTCTTTTGAAAATGTTATTCTACACATATAAGTCTCGAAGTCTCACCACTACAGCAGTAACCTCAACCTTCAGGCAAGCAAATACTGTATGGAGGTATGCTCAAACCATGCGTTAGTACAGATTTACCATATTACTCTTGCATCACTTATACTCTGATTTGTCAACTTGAAACAAACAGAATAGAAAGAATGAAAAGCACAGACTAAGACTCCAAAACCTGGCTTATTACTGAAGAAACACAAAGGAAATTTAAGCAAACCTGATTAAAGTACATGAACATAAGTATGGAAAATGAACTGCCTGTAATTTTGCTAATGCTGAATGTGCATAGATCCTTTTTAATTAATAATGAATGCAAATGCTTTCCCTACCCAGGCATTGATTAATTTATTCAAAAACATACGATTAATAGTCTATTTCGGACTCCTGTTAAAACTTTTTAAAAAGCACCCATTCTTAAATAAATTAAACAAAAACATGAACTGATTTAATGTGTTTTACAAAAAAAAACTTTCCTTAAGGCATATTAAATGTCTAATCAAAATGTCAGGAAATCTGTTTCATTAAGCAATGTTTACAGTTTCTAGATACAATGGAAAACTACAAGCTTTGGGTGAGTTAAGGAAGCATATCTTACAGCTTTACAAAACAACACCCTTTTGTGCTTTTTCTATTTTTGAGACAGCACAGGCCTATATTTTGAGGCTTACTATGAGGAGATTGTAAAAGTGAATATCCGCAGCCTTCTGCTACTTGTTTTTTTTTAATCAACTAGCTGTCACCCACGCAAGTCTGGGCAAACACAGCATTACAATTATGAACAGGAAAACATGATTTATCACTGGGTCTGATTAAATGCCATCCAATCAAAAACACCATTATTTCTGTTGTAAAGCAGCAAGAACTTAATGTTCATTTATACCCCCCTGTTCAGAATGCCATGCTTCACTTATGTAACACACATGGCCACCATCATTTTCATTAAGCCTTAGACTGTGGTATTATCTATTCATTAGTATGTAAGGGGGGTTTCATTACGGTTCCATTTGCTACAAGGATAGAACGGATGATTGGAGCTTAACAGATGAGTTAAGCTAGGATGTGCTGTTTTTCTCAACTCATATAATCAATCTGCTGTTAAAGATACAAGTCAGCCATAGACAAAAGCTATTTAAGGATTGTTTTCCTTTATACAATAATACAAACAAGGGGGACAATGTTATATAGAGTATATGTCCATGCTACTATTTTTTTCAGGCACATATTTCTGTAAGACTGGGAACTACTGTATATACTAATAAATGTTTAAAAATAAAATGTAATATCTAAATCTATATACACAAAGAAAACTTCTGTATAACCCTGCAAACGAATTAATACTTTATTAATAGTTGATACACAGTTATAAAAGCAATCTATGTCTCTATTTACAGTATAATGGCAGTCCTGAAATTTGAAAGAAGGTTACTGTCAATCGTATTGCAGTACATTATTTCCTCCGCTGTTTCACCAGAACCATTAGAAGTCCACTTAATAAAAAATAAAAACTTATTTGTGACACTGTCTGGAAACCAAAAGTACTTGTATTACTTTGAGTGTCATGGACTTAAACAGGAATGGTTTCAAAAAGCTTTCAAACTCCTTTCAGTGGAAAGAGGAAAGTAGGCAGCAGTAATAGTCTTGACATCTAAAGAGAGAAAATTATGCTTGTGTCCACTTCTCCATTTGCCAATGGTGTGATCAGTTTCGATAATGATGAGTATCAAAGCACTGTTTGTTCATATAATGGAACCCCTTCCGTTTCATATACTTCTTTGAACTATTTGTATGTGTTATTTACTGCTAAGATCACCTATGTTTCATATGGGTGTTTCTGTTGATTTTAAGTTTCCTCTGTCATCAGAAAAGTACTACTAATAAAAAACAGCAGTTGTATAAATAGGGGAAAGATAACAAAAAGAGATGGTGCACCTGGCATTTAAAGTAAAATTGTTTGCCTAACGAAATGCTCACGTAATACATTTACAGTATAGATGTCCTCAAAGAATCATACTTGTTCCATGGATTTCACTGTCACAATTGCACTGTCAATAATCTCTCATAACACACAGCAATGGTGATTGCATTTTTTCATTGGCAGAAATTTAGCTCAACCAAATTGTGAATAAAATCAATACACTTGATCAAAGCTAAACCTGCTGTGAATTAACAATTTTTGAGTTCCATTAAAAAATGTAGCACATTTTGCCTGTGATTATTGAAATATTCCTGAATGTACTGTAGGACCTAGAGTTCTCATGAAGTATAACTGTATTTCCCAAGAAAACTCTGAGAAGTATTTTTCACAGACACTGTGCCTCTTCCCATTGTGATATTAATACTAGATTACAAAAGGCAAATGACTTGAAGTGGTAAAACATAAACTACAACTGTGTTCAACGTTTGCTAAATGTATACTGTTTGGCTCTTTTAGACTTCATTGTTTTTCAATCCACCGGTCTTGAGACTGGTTCAATCAGCTTTTTTGATTACATTTTTTATTACATTTTTTGTATCTTAAATGCTGAAGCAAACTTGGACTGAGGCTAACTAACAGAACACTTTGGTTATAAAACCCTTGGAGGCAAAGAGAAGGCTACCTGATTTCTCATTAACTTTTAGGTCTTAATTTCTTTGAATTCATGAAGTCAAATAGTTTTTTGCAAGATTGTGGTATAATCCTTTACAAACACCTTTGTAGTTCACTGCACACTATCTGTCCAGAGATACCAAGGGTTGGCTGTCCTAATAATGGAGGATATCAACTGCAAAGCACTTTCAGGGGGCTTGCAAATTTTTCACATTTTCTTTCCAACTTGCTGTCTGCCATGTGCGTCAGGGACGATGCATAAATTGAAGCACATGCTAATTCAAGGAGATTTCAGATTATCTCCCATTTCACCTCAATTTTCCATAATTAAAACAATACAGAAACTGCTAGAATGTGTTGAATAAAGAGTTATCTTCCCATCCTTTTCTATGGCTGAGAGGAAATGTGTACTTTATGGCACTCAGATTTAGACAACTCAAAGGGACAATGTCAGAGGTTAATTTTTTCATCATTATTTGCTTGTGATATTTGAACCAACATACAAGACTGCATTATATAGGATTTGTTTATCTGTTTCAATACTTAAATCCCTACAACTATAACTTTACTAGGAAATAACATCACTGAATAAGGAATTAAAAATGCAATGGGAAAATAAAAAATGAAAGCTTAACCCACTTGGATGAGGGCCAACCGCCTGGCCATACAGTAGGATGTGGAGGTTAGGACCCCCTGACAGAGAGAGAATGTATCCGAAAGGTGGCTGCAGAGGTTGAGACGGGGTTGAGGAGAAATGCAGAAAAACAAATGCAAGCAAGAGAGAGAAACATACTATGGTATTTATACTTTTTGTGACCTCATGGAGAATTATGGGTTAGAGTAGCAGAAGTGAGAGTGACCTTGGATGATGTCAACCATCCTGAATTTTCTTTAAAACTTCCATACAGTATATTTGCATATGCTCTGATTAGCAGAAACAAGTGGAGACAGGCTTAGTTTTTCACTTGTCATTGACTGACACTGAAAATAACACATTGATTGTAATCACCAAGTATTCAGCAGGGTTGTTTTAATTGACAGTTTACAGAATAAAATATTTGTGCTTCACTTTGGAAATCACCATTGCTTCGTTTTTTTTTTCCCCGGGGCTTTTGCAACCTTTTTTGGTTCACCTTACGAAAGTTTTTTTTTTCCATGAGTACTGTATTGTAACTATATTGCAATACAGTACAATACGTTGCAAGACTGTATTGCAACGCAAGAGATTTCAGAGGCTAAGCATTTAAGTGTGAGAGGGCATCGGAATGTGTGTGCCTCACACTTAATGAGTGAGACCTGACATCTCTGTAGTCTCTACAGCCCAAGGTGAAGGTTTTCATTGCCTGTGAAATGTTGAAGACAATTCCATGCATTACGTCTTTGTGCATTTAGAAAATGTTTACTTTTTTCAGATAAGTTTCAATGGACCCGAAAATGTATTCTTCAGAGCAGTTCTCACTGGAATTGTAAATGACATATGACAAATGACACATGTGTGATTTGTACCCATTGGGATTTGATTAACCTGCTTTCAGGAATCTCCCAGCCCCCTGAAACCACCCAGCACACACGGATAACTAAATATATCAAGAGTTCTGAACTCAAGCTTTCTTTCAAGACTAAGAGGGAACCAGATACAAGGACTCAAAATCCTCTAGGCACTGACAATGTCAATGAAG